ACATTATACTTCCACGTTTAATAACAATTACACTTAACATGAGATCATAAGGCACATCCTTTTGGTACTGTGTCTTCACTGTTCATTCATAAGTTCAGTTGTTGCATGCCACAGGAAATGAGGGGTCAGCGGAGCAATACGTTAAGCCCGGAGCACTACATTGCACCCGGCCATCTGTTAAGGTCTGTGTGGTTGAATGTTTTCCTTGTCTTTCCCCAAAAGCTTCTTTGTGTTACGATCCCTTGCAGCTCTGATAGGTGTGATAATTGAATTTCCCTTCTGGGATAAATAAAGTATTTTTCATTTCATTTCATTCATTTCATAAGGGAATTCCTAAGTGGGCTCTGCTTGTCCTGGCTTCGGCTTCCCCGAGTCTGCAAAGCTGATTTAAGATAAAGATAACTTTATTGATCCCACAGTGGGGAAAGTTCACTGTTACAACAGCTCCAAAAAAAAGTGAACAGTCAGTGCAAGAATAATTGGGAACACCCAGTGCAAATTGTAGGAATGAAACAGAAACAGAAAACAGAAAACAGAAAACACACAGTGCAAAAATTGAAAGAGAAAAAAACATTACATACAGAAGATGTTGGGTTTTCTTTTTTAAAGACTATATACACAAGGATGAGTTTTAAATGACCCTGTGACCTGCAGGATAGTTCTGTCTTTTATAACGTGTGACTGTGAGCTAGACAGTTCGAATGAAGTCTCTTGAATCCTTTTGGCATCTGTGTCTGTCCATATCCTACAACCTACAATGTTCCGGGAGACACCTGTGTTCCCACTTCCTGTCCTCCCACCTTCTATGGTATCTTTATATTCAGCACACACACAACATTCTTTGTTCTTCCTCTGCAGGCTGCTCTGCATTCTCTATGATGGTAACCCTCTCAGACACTCAAACACTCAGAGGACAGTTTACTTTCTCAGGTCTCTTTATTTCAGTTCAACAGAACTCACTGGGTACATACAAAGTACAGCAGTTCTTCCACAACAGGTGGAAACAGAGATTCACATCTGAAATGTGTAGCCGACAAATCTGCGCAATGTCATCATGTCAATATGGACCAAAATCTGTACTGAATGTTTCTAGTATGTAGCTGAATCTATGCCACAAAGAGAGAAGGCAGTTCTGGAGGCAAAAAATGGGTCCAACCCACTACTGGCAAGGTGAACCTCATAAAGTGGATAAGTAGTTACACGAGCGCCAGTTTGCAGAAAACCGTTGAGAGAAAGGAACTGAAGTGTTTGGTCAGAGCAACCTTCACCTGCCAGACGTTGCTGATAGCAGGTCAATATTTCAGCTAATTTAGGGTTTTAGTAGAAGAGTGGAACCTCTTAGCGAATCCAGCCAGATAAGCTTGTGCATCGTGTCTGCAGAGGAGGGGAGAGAATAAAGAGAGAGCCTACAAGTGGTCTTCCCGTGCTGAAAAACAAATTCTAAATCATACAACAGTCTCGTCTGAGCATTAGCACCACAGTGTATTTCACATTAAAACGTCATTCGAATGTTAACAAAGGAAATTTGTGTCAGTGCAAATCGTGTTCTAAGGAATGTGCGACGGCTCCTCAATGCTCACTTTGCACTTTAGGAAACAGAGCTATTAGGTAGTCAGATAATGACAGGAACATTCTGCACTTTTTAGCAGTACGCATAATGACAAACCAAAAACACCGTCACAGTCTCGTATCTGCTTCTGTGCTTTCGTATTAACAACACCACACAAGAAACTGGTGAATGTACAGCATCTACACGTCTGTATTACAGACACTTGCAATGTAAACAATAACGACTTCTTCATGGTCCCTTTAGGTTTTGTGTGAATCTTTAAATGCAACATCGTCTTCTAACTCAGTGCTACAGGGTGTAAAAGGAAAAAAAACAACAACACAAAGCTAAACATTGTCTTCAGCTGTGTCCCTGTGACTTGTTTTTCTTTTCCCCTGGGCGAGCCTGAATGCAGCTCCATGCATGAGGCGCAGGCAGGACGACGCTGTTTCGTACTGCATCGTCTAAATAATACTGCAATGATACTGTGGCAAGATGTTTTTTGCCAAATTCTAAAAGCCTGTCAAAAAGAAAAAAAAACTGATGGCTTCAAGTGATTCACAATCAGTGTTTTACATTTGTAGTAAAAGGCTTAGTTCTGACTGTGAGAAAATACTTAAAATGTACATAAATATATGTCTACATGCAAATATCAAAGTAAAAAAATATAAATAGCTCGCTGAAATATATACATTTTACATTGAAAAACGTTTCTGGGAACTCTTTACCTGCATGTAAACTACTGCAGATATTACTGGACATTTTATGTAAAGTACAAAAAAAATAAAGAAAATATTTCTGTAACAATCTGGATTAAAAAAAAAAAAAAAAGTCCCAAATGGAGAACTTTCGGGAAAAGACAGCAAAGTCAGTCACGTTGTTTGTCTGTAGATGACTGAACCTTCTTCACATATTTCTTCTGGAACTCGTAGAAGACGCTGGCGGTCTTGGGAACAGGAGACGGACACAGAGGTTTGTACCTCTCCTCAGGATTTGGACACCATGACCCTGTGATACAGCACATTCACGATAATTACGAAAAAGAAGTGGAGCCTATTAAAAAAATTAGAGGAATTCATGTGTTGTATTTGCTACCTTTGACCTTGAAGTGGCTTTTACTGGAGTGCTGGTGCTTTTCCTTAGCATGGTTTGGCTTATCTGGAAAAAAACAAAAAACAAAACAAAGGCTTCGTTGAAAAGAGACTGAAAGCTCAGGTGTTACATATTCAACCTGAAAGACTCCTGGGTTGACCGGTTTTGTCTTTCAAATGTATTCTCCTTTGTATGAAATGAAGGCTTTTGACCTGCTAATTGAAGCATTGATTTGCTTTTGAATTTCTCCAGTGAGGGATCAAAATAAGTTGATCTTATCTCATGTAAATGATGCAGAAGTCAGCTGCCATTGAACTGATCATAGGGACTTCAGAGCGAACATGATTAACACTTGAATGTACAACTCACTGGATCAACAGCTGGCTTCCTGGTGTGTTTTTTACCTCCTGGTTTATTTTAGTATACTACACCATTTTACAGCCAACATACTCTGTACTGTGGTTGTGGAAATTCTACAATGAAGCTTGATTCTAAATGGAAATTTGTGATAAACCTGAAAAAAATGACTTGATTAGGTTTTTCTGCATGTATTTGAATCACACAAGCAGAATACAACTAGAGCTGCAGCAAGAGTTTGATCAGACGAGTCTGTCACCAGTCTGGTGTCGAGTCTCAGGCTGACTCTTAATGTTGCGTCTACATTATATCAAAGGTAAAATATCTGGAAAGCTACGATCTCATCCACTGAACCACTTCTGGTCAAGCCTGACCCTCCCAGAAGTGGACGCTGCTCATCAACCTCAGTACACAAGCATCAACAACACTGAGGTCCAATGAGGATAACTTTCAATGTCATTTCTTCAAATCCTACTGATTGAAACTGACGTATTATTCGTGCCATATTATTTTGTTTGTTTGATCCCTTGAAGTAAAAAAAAAAGTAGACACCGAGTTCACATCATGTACGATTTAATCAACAGGAAAAATACTACAGAAGAGCTTTATACAGTCTGATGACTTGTGATTTCCGTCTATGAGAGCCTTTGAGAGTTTTTACTCAGCACAAGACAGAACAATCTGTTGAGACATTTCAGCTCTTGTTTGGAGTCAAAAGTCATCTTCTGCAAACAACTCGACAGTGTTGATTTTAGACAATGGCTAGTGTTGGAATATATAATTCTGTAAAAGTACTGATAGTTTAGTATTCACACTAACAGCATTTAATGTGTATTCATGTGTGAGCTGTGCTGATCTGTAGAAGGGGAAAGAAGGATTCAAGCACTGGTCCAAGGCCTTGAAGGACTGAACTCTGCAGCATACGGCAGCTAAACAAAGGAAAAGTATCGACATCCAGGGAGCGGGAGATGTTAGTGGAGAGGTTTTTCTTTACAGGGTGCGGATGCTGCGGATTGGATGAATCGTGTGCCAAGAGATATGGACACATCTGTGCACCAACGAAGAGAGGGCTAAGTTTAAATCCTGGTTCCTCCCCAACCAGATTCACTATTTAAATTAAATGTCTGTGTTTAGTAGCCAATCACCTTCCACTACACTGAATTAAATGTTTAGATGAAGCTCCACCCATTACTGGCGAAGTCAGTCACAGATTAACGGCTTGCTGACTGTGATTTTCTGAACCAGTGATGGATCTTTAAACAAGTGAAATATCTTATATAGGCGAGTTGCTTATGTTAAACTAAGAACCAATGATTCATACCATATGGGAAACCCAACCTCTAGGCAATGAAGCAACCTTCCTTCGGTAACCTTTGACCTGATCACTTGTCAAAACATCCCAAACCACATGTAGCCTTCGACTTGGGGAACCCGGTCACAAACCCTTAAAACTCATGGGTTAGAATATCAGAAACCACAAATGAAAACTCAAACCGGACCAGCAGCTCTGTCACTAATGACTTCTTTGTGTGTGCAGGTGTTCAAGTCTGAGTTGTTTTTTTTTTTTTGCTCATTTGTCACAGCTTACAATAACAAACTCCTATCAGAAATATTTAAATGAAAGCAGAGTGATGTCATTTTTAAAAGAGGATTTGCGTTTTGAAAATGGTATGTAAATTTCTACTGTGTGGGAGTGCTGTGGGGCGTGCAGGGTGTTGGTGTGACACCTCAGCCTTGCTTAATACATTTTGCTCCTCAAAACCGATTCTGTTGAATCACTGCTGTATCACTTCAGTCTCAATATTTACCTGGAGCACAATCGGTGGGTTCCTTCCTCCTGTGGGATCCATCTTTGAAGTCGAAGGTTTTGGGTAATACACAGAACTTCAACACGTTCTCCTGGAGAGGCATGATCTTGCTGCTTCCATTTTTAGTGTCACTTCTCTCACGACCATCGGGCTGATTGGGTTTCTTTACTTTGCCGGTTTTGAGTCTAATAGACAGGGACCTCTTCCTCTTCAGATTCCGGCACCTCTTGCTGTTTGCATGTAAGACTCTCATCTCAGAGTTCTCCCTCTTGAGGCTCACCCCAGGAACAAAGGCAGACAGACGTTTCTGCCTTTTCAGTTTGTTTCTGTGCCAAAGTTCAGCTGGTGGTAAACTTTGCCTCCATTTTTCATGAAGACATTGTTTTAGTGACTGTTTCCTTTGCACGGCCTCACTGGACTTCCTCTTCAAGGGGCTGAGATGCACAGAGACAACTTCTGGAGGCCGATTTGTTTCATCTCCTGGAAAAGCATGACTCTTCCTCTTACCGATTACAGCACACTTACCTTGCTGCGCTGAGCCAAACAGTACCAGTTCCACAGTTCTAACATTTGAGCTTAAAGGCTGTGCTTCCACTGCATCGACCAGAGTCTTCTCACATTTTGAAGCGCCATGAAAAGCATGCTCTGAGCTCAGGTCAACAGAGAGTTTGCATTTCTTTGACTTCTTTTGAAAGGGAGAAAATGTATGATGGCTGCTTCGTCTCTTCTGCCCTCTCTCAGCTGTTTCTTGTTCAGTGCAGCTGCTGGAAGATGTCTGGAGGTCAGCTGTGGCACTGATTTGAGTTTGTCCTTTGTTTTCCATTTGAGACTTTGCCACATCTGCAGATTTTAACTGAGCCTGTGCACAGCCTTCCTTACGGTCCGTCATCTGGATGGCAACGTTGTGCTCAGTGCTTTCATTTTGTTTGTCATCACAGACTGAAGCGCTCGACTGCATCGTTCCTGTGGATTTCGGGTGTTCTTGCTCACATTCGTACTCAGGTTCTGACAGCTCAGTGGCAACTTTTGGCGTCTGGATGGGAGTTTCATTTTCACGGATGGGGAGACCTTCATCCTCGCCGTCAGTTATGAATACAATGCTTGACTCGCTGCTTGTGCTTATCTCGAGAGTACTTTCTTGGTCACAAGTTGAGTCCGGTTTGCCTTTGTCGTCAGTTAAGTCAATCATTTGAACGTCCTCATTGCAAGGCTCAGAGCTACAAATAGTTCCGATTTGACCGTCAGTGTTTTCCTTGTCCTCCTCTGGATCATCTTCTTGAATGTCAAATATTGTGAAAGAACTCGTCTCAAACAGGCTATCGTCTTTATGCGCTGCCTCCTTTTCCCTGTCAAGTGTCTCATCGGTACCATCTTTATCATTTTGTCGTTCCTTGCACCGGCATTTCCAAGGTTTGTTTTCCCCGCAAAATAATTCCACCACTCTTGCAAGACAACAAATCTGTTCAATTGGCTCGCAAGCCTCACTCTCCAGTATTGACAACGTGGCACCTGTATCCTCAGATGTTTCACTCTCCACAGAACTACAAATTATCTCCTCTGCTTGACTATCGGTATCCGTGCTTTGTGGCATCTCAGTTTGTCCTTGCTCAAAGAAACGTTTGGCCGCTTTCGGAGACAAAACTTGGATGTTAAATGAGTACCGCGGGTCACTGGAAGTCTCACTTTCTGTCTCATCAAAGGAGGCAGTTGGAGTTGAGGGGGCTTCAACACTGGAGGCTTGTTTCTCTTCACCCGAGTCAACCGGTTCGAGCTCTGTTGGTAATAAAACTTTGTCTGGCACCTGACTCCCAACTGGCTCAGGAATACTGTCGACCGTCTCCACCTGATCTGTCTGGCTGTCACTGTCCGGCTCCGGAAGATGACTCGTCAAAGTCCACGGGAAGCCAAACTCTTTGTCTATGTCATCGAGCTGCTCATTGAGATTCAACCACGAAGATTTGTAAGGCAGTTCTGAATAGACTTCATCATGTTTGAGTAAATGGTGTTTTTCGAGTTCCTGTCCAAAGCCGCGTATCACCTGCGACAGTATAACAGTGTCTGATTTAACGTGTGTTTGGCAGAAATTGGAAACCTCTCTGACTAAAACCTTGAATGACCCCATCTTGAGATGTGATATCAATGTGCTGTAGCTGCCATCCCAAAACATATGTAATATTCGGTGTGGAAGACTAAGATTTGTAAAATCCTCTGGCGTAGTCGGAGCTTTTTCAACCCTCTGTATTACTTCAATTAGTGCATCAAACATCCATTGGGTTGTTGGGAGTGAAGAATGCTCTGGAGTTGGAGGTTTTACCATCTCAGCTTGGTCTTCAGAGCAGTGTTGGTTTGCTGGCATTTTCAAAAGTAGGGATTTTTTAGCAGCATTTGTAATTCCAATATCCGGAACAGATTTTTGCAAGTTTAGAGGATCTGAATCTGACTTTGACAAAACGGCACCATCATTAGATTCTGCTAGATAGCTTTTTTCAGATTTGTTGGATAGCACTTGATTTGGGTTTTCTGGGTGAAGATTGGATTCCTTTGTCAAATTCTCACCATTTCTGTTTTTTGCCCCAGGTGGTGAAACAAAGACTTTCTCCGGGTTCCACAAGGAGTCACCTGTGGTAATGGCAGTTTGACAGCTTTCCAGGGGCAACGGTTGAACTACAGCAACAGCTCTTGTGCCAGAGCGAGCA